TTTGAGAAACCAATTTTCCCATAATATCTTTCCCACAAATATATATATTAGAAAAGAAACTAAGGATATCGGATATCCATGAACACTAAGGTCTTTATATAGAATTATCCATCTTTGCCTGTTGATATTAATAAATATAAATGTAGGGCAGGCATATCTGCCCTGCCAGATGGTGCTGCGATCGAGTATTTGATAATTAAATACGTTTAGCAGTCCCCAACCAGCACCCATCTACACATAAAAATAATTTGCAAGATGCCAAATATGCAATTTTCTAGACATCTCGTGATGGTTCTATAGTTGGTGTCTAAGTCGAGCTGAAAAATATTTGCGAGTGCTATAGGTTTTATTTCCGGTGTTGAAGTGAAGTGATTGTGGAATAGCTTGCAATACATTTGCAAATGCTAAGGGTTCTATACTTTTCTTATACTTTCATGTCGACAACTTCATTCATCCCAATTACTACATGGATGAAGCCAATCCAGAATATCTAGAGGTGAATGTGGCTAAGGGTTCTCTTATCAGTATCTAAGTTAAGGTGTACGATCGATGATTTGTATATGAATTTCTTGAAATTAATTTGAACTCCAACACATAGTTCGAATATTTAATATATATTAAATTTATTTTTATTTAGCGTTAATACTCTGCCATTCTAGCCTAGCTATTATTTTCAACAAAATTTAACAAAAGAGTCCATTTTATATAAAACTAATAGGAGATTTATCCCAGATATATCTTATAGAATACGATGCCTCAGCAATATGAGGGAATCCTTTCTATGGTTTATTAGAGGACCAAAGCGTCCTCAAATCCAAGAAATTATTCGAATGTATCAAATCTTTAAATTAAAGAAGAAGAAAAAACCTCTTCTATCCTTGTGTTCTATTCTCTTCGTGTTTGTGATATAAAAAAAATCTATCCACGCATGTAAGTATTGGTTTATTTAATCGTATGGAGATGGATGAACCCACAAGATTGTTTGAATGGTATCCTTCAAGTTCTTTAATGCGTTGTGCGAGTCTAAACTTGATCCATCTATAATTGTTTATTCAATTATTATAAAAAAAATGCTATTCATCCACAGTGGAGATGCATCCCCAATCTATGTGAATGTAAATGATTGGTTAAATGATAGGTGAAATTAAATGACTTATTTAATTTCACCTATCATTTAATGCCACATTAACGTCACATAAACTGGGGATGCATCCCCAGTGGAGATGAA